CGTTATGTACAACAACACCTTTAAGGAGCTCCATTGAAGCGGAAGGGACCATCACGGTGAAAGCTGGGGTAGGAGATGGCACCCACTGACTCTGGCTCGACATGGAATTCATGGTAGTGCAGCTCGATTGTGCACACCATTTGATTCTAGGGCGACCAGGGTTGGAGGACCTGGAGTGCGTAATCTCCCCCGTCCATCTGTGCCTGAAGTTCAAAACCCCCACGGGGGTGGGGGTGGCTAAGGGGAATCAAAGCTTGTCTTGATCGTGCTATGTCAAGGCGACCAAGAGCCAGGCACGGGTCGATGAGAATGTGAGCACGATCTGTGCTGCAATCCAGAAGGAAGAGGGGCGACCTCGGGCCGAACCAGCGGAGGAAGTTGAAGAAGTCATCTTGGATCCGCCCAGGCCTGAGCAGAAGGTGAAGGTAGGTAAAACCTTACCACACGGATTAAAGGAGCAACTGTTGGAGATCCTTCAAGCATTCAAGGTGCTATTCACTTGGGGCCCAGAGGACATGCCCGGGGTCAACCCGAAGATCATCTGCCATAGGTTGGCAGTAGACCTGACCCACAAGCCAATTAAGCAGAAGAAGCGTTTTCTTTCCTCAGAAAGGAGAGAGTTTGTCACCAAGCAGGTGACAACCCTGCAGTCCATTGGACACATCCGGGAGGTCCGCTACCCGGAATGGTTGGCGAACGTAGTCCTCACATCCAAAGGGAATACCTGGTGGATGTGCGTCGATTACACCGACTTAAACAAAGATTTCCCAATGGATCCTTTCCCTCTCCCCAACATTGATCAGTTGGTGGACGAGACAGCAGGGTGTGAACTGATGAGCTTTATGGATGCATTCAGTGGATACCATCAGATCAAGATGGCTGCAACGGATGAAGAGAAGACCGCTTTCATCACCCCCAATGGGGTGTACTGTTACAAGGTGATGCCCTTTCGCTTAAAGAATGCCGGTGCAACCTACGCACGGATGGTCAACAAACTGTTCGCACCGGTGTTGGGGGGATGTATGGAAGCGTATGTGGATGATATGATCGTCAAATCAAAGCAGATGGGGTTCCATGCCCAAGATCTGGAAAAGGTTTTTAAGATCATGAAGAAGTTCCAGCTCCGCCTTAACCCCAAGAAGTGTACATTTGGGGTTCAAGGGGGGCAAGTTCCTAGGGCATATGGTCAGTCGAAAGGGGATTGAGCCCAACCTGGAGAAGGTGAAGGCAATTTTAGAGATGGAGCCGCCACGAAACGTGAAGGAGGTCCAGCAACTTACGGGAAGGATCCTTGCTCTCAGTCGCTTCTTATCAAAGATAGCTGATCGGGTGGAACCCTTCTTTCAGACCATCAAGAAAAGAAAAGGGTTTGTCTAGACCGAGGAACGTCAACGGTCCTTCGAAGGATTGAAGGCGTATCTCCTCTCCCCACTAGTGCTTTCGAAGCAAGAGCCCAGAGAGACTCTATTCCTGTACTTGGGACTCTTCTCCGGAGCCCAAACGCCGCGTCGCAAGTTAGCAAATGGGGGGTGTTCCTAGGATCTTTCCAGGTAGAGTTTAAACCGCGACCAGCGATAAAAGGGAAGGCCTTGGCAGATTTCGTGGTAGAATGCACTGCAAGGGAAGTGGAATCCAATGGAGAAGAACCCGAAGGAAACTGGTGCACTGTGTACACTGATGGCTCGTCCGCGACTGATGCTTCGGGGGGAGGTGTCGTGGCGATATCACCGGAAGGGTTCAAAGCATACTACTTTTTAAGGTTTCGGTTCAAGGTCTCAAACAATGAGGCTGAGTATGAGGCACTGCTTTGCGGTTTGCGGCTGGCAGCATCATTAAAGGCTGAACGGATCCAGGTCCGATGCGATTCCAAGATGATAGTAGGCCATGTCACAGGGGAGTTTGAGGCCAAGGATGAGCGAATGAAGAAGTATAGAGACACTGCTCTAGAGTTACTTAAAGCATTCGGGGCGTACTGGATAGAGCAGGTCCCTCGAGAAGAAAATGCCGAGGCAGACATCCTGTCAAAGCTTGGTCCGGATTCCCAGATCATATCAAGGTGATGGCACAGGGGTCGAGGCCACCCCTGTGCCGACCATCAGCGAAGAGCAGATGAGGAAGTTTGTATCCAAGCAAGTCTTGTGCCGGTTCGGGGTACCCCAGCAGATCATCACCCACAATGGAGCCTAGTTCGAGGCTAGAGGATTCAATGAGTTTCTACAGAGCTGGGGCATAAATCATAGCTACGCGGCGGTCGGGTACCCCCAAACCAATGGGCAGGTCGAGAACACTAACCGTACCATCGTGGATGGCCTGAAGAAGAAGATAATGGAATGTAAAAGCTCCTGGGTGAAGGAATTGCCTTACATCTTGTGGACCTACAGAACTACCCCAAGGAAGGCAATGGGTGAAACTCCGTTCTCGCTCACATATGGGTTTGAAGCAAGGGCTCCAGCGGAGACCTCATTGCTGAGTTATAGGGTGGAGACCTTTGACGCCCAGGAAAATGAAGAAAACCTAAGGGCAGAGCTACATCTCATTGATGAGCGGAGAGAATGGGCGTACATACGGGCGGAGAACTATCGTCGGCAAGTCAAGTCATACCATGACCAAAGAGTGCGACCAAGGCAGTTCAGAATAGGTGACTGGGTCCTAAGGAGGAGGGAGGTCAGTCGGCCGACCGATAGAGGAAAATTCGCCAAGAGTTTTGAAGGGCCATACATCATAAAGGAAATATTGGCCAATGGAATGTTTAGGTTACAAACACCAGCGGGGGGTGACGTCCCGCGGGTATGGAATGCTGCCAATCTCATTAAATTTTATCAGTAGATTGTACTTTAGTCGTATTTTCTCCTCAAAGTTTAATAAAACCGCAATTTTGGCACTTTCCTTCTTGGACTCCTCTATTTAAAAAAAGGAAGCGACCAAAGAGATCGCTAATTGAAGCTACGTGGTGACTCGCACTAAGACACCCGCCAGGGGATGAAGTGTCGAACCCTGTTAAGCGACCAAGTCCGAAGGCTATCAGGGAATGCTCGCTCCCCAGTCGTCAGAGCGACTATGGGGCAGAGCGACTAATCAAAGGGCGACGTCGTGGAGAGAAAGCCTAAAAACGGCTAAGTCCAGAGCACAAGATCTACCGATCGCATGAGCGACCTGAGGACTTTGGGAGTGTGGCGACGCCATAGGAGCTAGAATGCCCCAAAGATGGCTAAGTCAAAAGAGGTGGGGTATTCTCTAACTAAGGTTTGAGGAGACCTAAACGCTCAAAATAAGATGCAAAAGAGAAGAGGATGGGACTTGTAAGTAAACAGGTAACATCAAAGTGCATTTATGATAATGTTTATCACACTTCAAGGATAATCTTTGGCATCTACACATACAATACAGTTGAGAAAAATTTCTACGTACTTTCAAAAGAGGGAAAATTTTCCCATACACTTCTCATACGAAAAAAGAAGGAAAAGGAAAAATCTAGAACATTGCGCGGTTGAAGCCCGGAAAGAATGAAGAATCCAGATGAGAAGGCAAGGTTGAAAGGTAGTTCTGCAGCTGTATAGGCCGACAGAACTCCGATCACTGGCCATCCATAATGACCACCTTTCTTCTCCATCATGGAGCAGGAGTGGTCACCCCCAGCCGCGACAGAAACCCCCCGTCCTTCTCCTGCAAGGGAGGATGGGAGGCGACTCACTTTTCTGTGAGCCCCAATCGTCATCACCTAGATGAGGATGCAGACCCTGAGGCCGCTCGAGCTACCCTAGATCGCCTAGGAGCCTTCCGGGGAGGTGAGCGACCAGCAGGACGGGGTAGGGAAGAACCTTGTTCTTCTCCCACCACAACCTCATCTTTAGGCCGCACCGGCGAGTTGGTGCGACTCTCGCTAGTCCACCGCTCCAGACTTGTGTAATATGCACCCTCATGCTCCAAGAGGGGCAAGTGCTCATTCTGCACACTCTCCCATGCCATGCACTACAGCAAATGGAGGGGGCATGGGGCATCCCAGTCAATCCGCCCGTTGGGCAGGCAGTTGGCTGAGAGAGCCTTGTACGCCTCGCTGAAATCATCATAAGGATTTGGGGGTATCAGCGGCGGTCTCACCGAGGGCCATTGCCGGTGAGGCAACCGGCGGCAGAACTCGTAGGGGTCTCGCCCCCCAGTCATTGGAGTTAACCGACTTGGGGGAGGAGGGAGGCTCCGGTGAAGAAGGAGCCGGCCCATCGGAGAGATTCAGAGAAGTAGGAATTCCCTCGGACATGATAAAAATGGAGAAAGGGAAAGTGTTTGATGATGGGACTAAGTGAAGACTGGGGGGCTTATAAATAACCCCAGGTGAAGGAACCGAAGGGACGGTCAAGTCCCAAGGCAGCTGAACCGATAAAGCAGCTTCGAGCCGCGCAAAAGTCCAATCCAAGACTGCGGATGGCAGTGGGTCAGTTGGACGGCACGCTGGCCAATCCCGAAGCTGGGCTTGATTATGCAGTTCGGCCGGGGTTAAAAGTTGGGCCCAAACAAAAACGTCCATGTTAGCAAGCTAAACTAAAGAAGAGAGCATCGTAGCAAAATGCAGGAAAAGGAAAGCACATGGTAAACCAAACAAGTCAAATCTCTCGTCAAAATATGGGAACATTGCATCAAGAACACCAAGTCATTCCAAAAAACAAAAAAATCATAAGTGTTCGCAAAGTTGAAGGGGGCAACGGGGAAGATTAGATGCTCGAGCTGGGATTTCCACCCGCCTTGGATGTTGCTAAGCTGGCCCCAGGATTCTGGTCGCCCTGTCCATCTTCTTCTTCTTCTTCTTCGTCGGAAGCACTTGAGCTCCCTCCGTCCAAGTAAGGACTGGGGTCGAACTAGGCCAAGGAGCGATAGGGAAGAGGAAAGCTGAGGTCGGGGAGAGAGAATCCTTTGGGGAGATGGGCTAGCCTGTCACTAAAGACTTGTTGGGCGCGAAAGAGTCCGCAGTTGAAGGACTTGGTCCCCTCCTTGACCATCCAATGAGCCCCAGGTTCAGTTTTGAGCCACTCGGCTGCCAGCTTGTCCATTCGCTCTAGAGCGACCTTCGTAAAATCAGGAGAGGACTTAAAAGTCTCGACCGCTTCCTCCGCATGGCGGACCTGGTCGCTCCTCTCCATCTCCAACTACTAGATCAGGTCAGTCTTCTCCCCCTCTAACTCGACCTTGCGAGCAGAAACAGATTCCACCTCCGAAGACAAGGAGGCTTTATGTGCCTCAAGAGCGACGCAGCGGTCCTTTTGGGAGGCTTCCTCTGCCTCAAGAGCAGCACAGCAGCTCTCCTTCTCCTCCAACTCCCTCGTAAGGGGAGCGACCTCCTCCTGTAATTCCTTCTTCTTGGCTTCCGCTGCCTTCATCGCCTCATCCGAAGCAGCTTGGCGGCCCCGCTTCCTGCCGACAACCTCAATCATCCCCAGCGAAGCCTACACCAAGGCATAAATGTTAGGAGTGCAAGAGGGAGGAGTGGTGGGAAGGAAATCAAGGCGAGTACCTGGTTAAGCCTCAAGAGGACCATGTTGTCAAGATCGTCCTCAGAACCGGCTGAGATGCGGGCCTGGTCTTCCGCGGGCAGGGTGATCAAGGTCTCCAGCTGCACGTCCCCTAGTCTTTGAGGCGGGGGAGGAATGCTGAGCCTCATCGAGCAACCCTCGGTCGCCACTTCGTAGGTCACTGCGGGCGACGAAGTAGGTTGCTCCGAGACAACACCTTGGGACGACCCAGCAAGGTCGCCACCTGGCATCAGAGAGTGCAGAGGGGAATGGACCGCCATTGTACCCGTCTCTAGGGCCGCATCATCCTGGTCCTCCACCACGATTACAGCTGTTAGAATAGGTGCCCTTCACTAGAGGGGGGTTGAATAGTGAGGCACGAGAATGTTTATAAATTTTCGCAGAATAAAAATCGCAGGGATAAAGTAAAGAGCGAAATAAAAAGGAGTAAAGAGAGCACACCAAGATTTATACTGGTTCACCACAAAGTGTGGCTAGTCCAGTCTCCCGAGAGACTCTCTCGAGCTACACTAATTCCGTTAAGCTTACGGGTTCTTAACAAACCGTTACAACCTGAGAACTCGAGTCCCACGAGCCTCAATACACTTGCTCGGAGATACCGCACTCCAAGACTTCAACCCGAAGGAATATGCCCTTCCTTCGTACAACCAAGGGAACAAACCTCCCTTAAAGTGTTCACAACACTTAACCACTCAAGAACAAAAACTCTCTTAAAGAGTAGAATATGAGTAAACTAATTTAGATCAAGAACACACTCAATTCCTCAAGAAATGGCTCTAAAAATCTATGTAAAAAGTTTATGGAATGAAGCAATGTAAAGCTATGAAATGTGTGAGGAATGGTTGTGAAAAGTAGACCCAAGAGACCCCTTTTTATACCCAAAAACAAGGTGCAACGGTTGGGAGAAGATTGGGGTTGATTGGCTTGATTTGTGGAAATCAAATAAAAGTGGATCTACTGAAATCTAGCCTGACAGCGCTGTTCATATAGTGAACATCGCTGTTTTGGCTTTCAAAGAGAGAGTAATGGTAATTCCCCCTACAAGATTCCCCCTCACTTGTTGCATATACCCAAACACTTCCCCCTTTTGGCATTAGAAAAAAGCACTAAGTAAAGTTTACAAAAAAAAAGGTACTCCCTGAGCATTGATGTTTGATACAAAACATCATTGTTGTATGTTCCCCATGAAACTGATACTATGTTTATAGCAAAAAACAATTCCCCCCAAACTCCCCTTGATGCAAATCATTAGGTTTCGTGCTTGGAGCATCCACTACAAAAATGTAGTCTTCAAACACACCTACATATGCATCTAAAAATAATTTTTAGGTACCCAAAAACGTTTGGGTCCTTGAGGGTTAGGCAAATAATAATCATAGCTATAAAACAAATCCATGTGTTTGGTAAAACAAATGGGTGCTATGTGTCCTATCTTAGAGCAATAATGGCAAACTACATTTGGATTATGCATATGCCTAGGTTGAGCCAAAAATTTTCTAGGTGATCTAAAGTCATTATTCCTAGAGTTATTAATTAAGTTCCTATACTCATTTCTAGGTTGTCTCAAATTATTTTTATCATTTATAAAAATCTTAGAGTCATTTCTAGGTTGTCTCAACTTATTCTTTTTATTCTTTCTAAAATTAATTTTGTTATTCCTAGGATTATTTGTTTTTCTAGGTGGTTTATCATTCTTAACTTCTTCACCAAGTTTCTTAGGCTCTTCTACCTTAAGTTTTTCTATGGTGCTCTTAAGTTCTACATTCTCTATTTTTAAAGATTCACAAGAGGAACAAGTAGAACTTTGGTCAAAGGAAGAAGCTTCGTTCATTGCCTTAATCTTATTTTTAAGGTCAAGATTATCATTTTCTAAAAAATTATTTTCTTCTTCTAAAGCAAGAAGTTTAGCCTTAGCCTATTTGGCAATTTTTGAAGCTTTCTTGAATTCACCAAATAGTTCTTAAAGCTTCTTGTAATTCTTCATAAGAATGAGAGTTAGAAGTACTTACCTCTTCTTCTTCATTGGCCATGAGACAAATATGGGTTACTTCTTTTTCTCCTTGTAGGGTTTCGTATTTCTCACGCATGCCATCCCATAGATTCTTAGCCGTTTGATATCCGGAGAACTTTTGAATTTCTTGCGCGTCAATTGCACAAAGTAGAAGGTTAAGAGCTTTTGCATCTTGTTCCACCTTCTTGATATCTTCTTCATTGTATTCCTCCTCGAGTTTCTTTACTTTTTTCTTGCCCACCTTCTTCGTTGGGAGAGAAACTTCGTTGTTGATTGCCATCCAAAGTGTGTAATCAATGGATTGAATGAAGATTCTCATTCTATCTTTCCAATAAGAGTAATTTACTCCATTAAAGAGTGGTGGCCTTGTTAAAGAGTGTCCTTCGCTAAAAGATCCTGCGCT